TTTATAAGAGATAATTTTTCACAAATGATAGCCCACAGAATTTTTAGTCACTTTCTCACCAAGCGCTGATAAATCCTAAATCAGGAGTCAAATGCGCTAGATGATCTTACCTAAAGTGGTATCTGGTAGCGATGGACTGAAGAATGACACTCCAGTCCAACTCTTGTCTTCTCCCTCGGTTCATCTTCGTCCGTTCTGTTAGTTCTGTTGTCCGGTTAGTTGCTAGGTTACGGTTAGTTCTGTCGTCCGCTCAGTACTGCTTATAGTTCATCGTACTACAGATTACAATAATAAGTTATAACAGCTGTGAATACCGATCTAAACTGTGTGACCGGGTCCGGACAGGGTCACAAGAAGTAAGGTTACAATAAAAAACCTCAACCTATAATTTACAAAGCCTAACTTTAGCTACCCAATCATCTTGGAATGAAAAATTCAGCAGACCGGCGATAACGCAATACAGAAATGCAAATCGATGTCGCATAGGAATGAAAGTCCACCATCATATAATATTGATCCCAAATCAGCAAATCGAACGCAACGTTAAAAACAATATCCCGTCGCTATTTACCCAATCAGATAAAAGTAAAGTTACCTTGACAGGCGAGATAATCACGAACAATATGAAATACGATCCTACAATTATACTCTGTAGGCTGTTACTAATTTACTGAAGCTGTAAGTTGTAACAATCTGATGGAATAACCAGATTCCGGAGAAAGTGCCGATGTTAACATATTATGAAGGAGTATATTATTAGTGAAGTAACATTGTTACTACACTGTTACTACTACTGATCACTTAACCAGTTTTAACATTTTACATGAATTTGTCGCCATCTGGACGAATAATTGTCCGGATTTAAACCGCAAGTAAAAAATAAAGTTCAAGTAAATGTTAACTATATCCTCAACGGATCACACATGATCTGACTATATAAGAAATGTACTACACAGATAACAGAGAATTGTTGTAGTAAGTAAACAATCAGTAATTAACATGTTGGCCGATGCTGATCACAATTTAAACCCCGTTTACTTTTTGCTTTCCTGGTACAGCTAGAAGATCGGAAGCAGATCAAAACTGTTTAATAAAGTTTGCAAGTAGGTTGGCCATTCTTATATTTTGAATACAACTAACCATGAATCTACATCTGAAACAGAGCTTTAACTCAATGGTGGAGCTGCCAACAGTATAACACAGAAATTCAGTATTTGAGAATTAATTAAAAAGCAGCCGATAAGAGAAAATGGTCAGATTCCGAGTCGCACACTTGAATGGAGATCCTCTTTAAATGTCGCCCCCAATAGTTGCTACTAAACTACAATTAAGAGGACACAAATTGAGGGAAGAAAGACAAATAAGCTAGTCCAATCACGTGAAGAACCGGGTATTATAGTATGTGAACTACAGGTTAGTTGCTAGGTAACTAACCGGGTATTATAGTATGTGAACTACAGGTTAGTTGCTAGGTAACTAACCCGGTATTATAGTATGTGATCAACTGTGAACTGAAGAGCATTATATCATTATGTTATCACAATATCGACTAACAAGGATATGATCACTCAGCCATATGTCTCTTCTTCGCAAGCTGTCGACTTGAAATTACCCTGACTAGTAGATGAAACAAACGTGACTTGCGGAGGATCAAGTTAAGCGTGACTTGCGGAGTGAAAAGCTATCAGCTCGGTTACCTCATGTTTAACTTATCGAGAGTTCTGTGACGCAAAATCATTAATAAATTGGTTTTGTTTATGATATAATAATAAACTTTATCTGCTCCAACATAAAGCTTTTTTTCGTTAACTTAAAATTTCAAACAAATATATTTTGTTTGACAGTAGCGGAAACGTCGGTACTTGGTATAAACTGTGTTAACTGTTAACCAGTGGAATCTCTAGAAAGCAGAACAATGACTAAAATTAGAAAACCACAGAAAGAAATGCCAGCCATTTCATGATCAGTACAGTGCTGCTTCTACTACTACCTTACTACTACTACTGTTTCTCAATGTTTTTAGATGATTATCAAGCAATACGACCACAAGTTCTTCCTCAACAATTGAACTTCATCAGTACTATATTATGTTGGCGACACTGCTGTATTACTTTATCTATTTATAATAATGATTGTGAGAGAATGATATACAATATCACATTTTTCTTTGCTGCTGCGATATAAGAGTGATATGAATAACATTAAACAAGCAATATTCAAGAGGGAGTAACTTTACTACCTCACAACGTCAAAGCTAAAATTTAATCACACACATTTCGTAAAGCATGATCCAAATATCTTAAAAAGTTAAAACCATGAATACTATCTCATGATGATACATCTCTTATTAAAACCCAATAAATGCCGTGCTAAAAACTTAAAGGCGTCCAAAACACAGTGTATAATATCATCAGAATAGCGAAATAGCAGAGTCTATGATGAGAAGTATTTGTCAAGAAGAAGCCCCTCCCCACATGGTCACGTGATATACAGAGGGCAGCATGTGGTGGTGATATAAATTGCCCTGTAATCGAGTGCTTGCTGTTGAAGTAGAGGAAACACAGTGTTGCAAATCTCTTGAACTCCGCCTAATTAAAGGGCTTGCGACGTTTCAATAGGTCCAAATTCTTTCGTTAAACTTATTCACACCACGACTACTTTCTACAACTAATAATGCGACTTTTCTTTCAATAACCACGTTATATAGACCACTCTGTTGACTACTACTACTACTAATACTTGGTAGGAACTAAGTCCGATCTACGCCAGATAACACCCTCCGTATATCTACCCTGCAAAGATTCACATAAGACTGTGTAGACTTATAGACTAGGATGTTTCAATTATATTTAAACAGCAGGGGGTAAAATAATAGGATAACTAGTCTATATTGTGTGGAACGTATTACGACACGTATTACGACACACAACACGTATTACGACACACAGAACGCATGATTCCTGATTAGCAGATGCTAATTCAGCTCAACACAACTCTGGAATAATAGTGAGTTTGAAGAGATTTCGAGCGGATAGTTCAAAGAGAGAAACATGAGCAAAAATAAGCACTTATTGCATATGCTAATATTCTTATTAGTGTGCGACTGTAGCAATTAGTGTGCGACTGTAGCAATCTACTAATATGTTATTATCTACAAATTATTATGCTTGTAAACATCGCAGTGGATCATGACTATTTCCCCGCTTTAACAAGAAGATTGGCAAACACTTTGATATTTGTACTTTCATTATTGAAATAGTAACGAGTTGAAGCGTGTGCTAGTAGCAACGTTTATAATCCGGTTCAGGGAAGTTTCCTATAACAAGTGAAGCCATAACGATAGTAACAAAGTTTGAAAATATTAGAATAAAAGGAGAAATGATCGGAGTTAATAGATAAAAGGGTCTTGTGGTCTCAAGATATCGTTATAGAACGGAGTAAAGACAATGATTTACGTAACTATTGTTATTTACAGCTAATCAATAAATAGAAGGATATAAAGTCTCGGTAAAGAGTCGGTAAAAATGTACGGTAAAGAGTGGTTGGAGGATAGCAACAACACGGTAAATTAATCAAAACATCTTTTAGCTCAATGTGTTTGGTCACGTGTTGTTACTTACCAGCTTTGAGATTGTCGCGGAGAACATTTGGCCGGTCAAATGTGTACTCAGAACTTTTAGTGAAAGTTCTCATCATTTTTAATATAATGTTGGGATTGATGATCATGGGGATTCCAGATAAACCAAGATGGTTAAATCGTCTTATCAATCAAGAACAGTTTCATAAAACACTGTACCGACTACCGTACAAGGCCAGGGACCATAACGAGTGATCTTCCATACGAATAACGAAATTCAACTGTTGAGGACGGTAAGGATCTCGCCTTCTAAATTACTGGTTACTGGAGTATTTTGAACGATTATTTTGATAGTTAATACTTAATTGTAAATGAACTGAACCAGTAATCAGTTATACTGTAAGTGTAATACACAAAGAGGCTCAAAGGTTGCGCGCCCGGCGTGGCTTTATGTCATGGTGGACGCAGTTGTTTTAGAACTTTCAGTAAAAAACTGTCATCGCGCGCTACAAAATAAGACATTGCCAACGTTCGAGAGTGTGACCGCCGTAACTTGATCGAATTGTGAATTATGATAAACACCAGCTGCTAGGCTCCTTTTCTAGGTTGAGATGCACCGGGATGTCCCTATATCAGTTAGAGATGCAATTAACCTTGGTTGTACAATTTAATATTTCACACGGATAAATACTTTAACAGTGTATACCTGTACCCCAAAAAGTGTTAAAACCTCCTATCCGTGTAGTTAGTTACTATGGAAACCACCTGGAAACTTCAACATACATCCACCTAAGTGGATCTCCATCTAATAAACCCTTACTGACATTTCATGTGGTGAGAAGTTCTCTCACTAAAGTGGGTACTGGGTACTGTAGCACTAGAGCATTCACTACAGTATAAGGTGGACACTGGACAATAATGATATTCATCGTATTCAGGGCCCAATTTTATTAATGGGGCCCTGAATTAATGGCCGGTAATATAATACCGGGCTATGTTGTACACATTTCTTCTTCAAGTGAGTCCGAAACTCTACGGTGAGAGATTTTTCGGTGAAAAAATTAGGGTTAGGTTAAGGTTGAAAGAAAATTCTCCCCGACCCCAACCCCTACCCCAACCCCGACCCCAACCCCGACCCAGACCCAGACCCAGACCCAGACCCAGACCCCAACCCCGACCCCGACCCCGACCCCAACCCCAACCCCAACCCCAACCCCAACCCCAACCCCAACCCCAACCCCAACCCCAACCCCAACCCCAACCCCAACCCCAACCCCAACCCCAACCCCAACCCCAACCCCAACCCCAACCCCAACCCCAACCCCAACCCCAACCCCAACCCCAACCCTGACCACAATATTTTGTGCAGGTAAATATTTAGAATAATATTTTAAGTAATCAGGCTCTTATCATACTGACTAACTTGTTATCCTCTTCAATGTGATGAGTATGATTGTGAGAGAACCCCCCTCCAGGATGATTGTGAGTGTATGGTAACACAGTGTTGCCATGGTTACTGTACGTAGGGTCGGGGCTGCCAGGCTGGAGTCCTAACATTACACCTGTGCTATCTTCACTGTACGGAGGGAGGTAGTCTGAGTCTGTGTCGCTGTACCTGAACATGTTTCAAACTAATCACTAGTCACTAGATTTACCTGTATGAACCTGAATATGTTTAAGTGCAAACTAGTGACTATATTCAGTATTTACCTAGAAGTAGTAACTATTCACTATATTTAGTATTTAATGTAAGTGCATCTGTCAACTAACACATCATCTTATTAATTAATAGTTTTTTATAGGTAGCATCTGTTTTGGGCAGATGTCAAAGTTCGGTAGACTAGTCCTAGTTTCGTAGACTAAACTATTGGTTTCACTTCTCAGCAATATCTAACAAGTTTATGTAAATGTTGTGAATGATGTAAGCGTACTTGATGGTGAATGTAGTGAATGATGTAAGCGTACTTAAAGGTGAATGTAATGAATGATGTAAGCGTACTTGAAGGTGAAATAGTTGAAGTAGTGAATGTTGTAAGCGTACTTAAAGGTGAATGTAGTGAATGTTGAAAGCGTACTTGAAGGTGAAATGGTTGAAGTTGTAGTCGACAGAGTTCACATTGTTAAGAGAGGTAACTGTGGGAGAGAGATTGTAAATATAAGCTCTAGAGGGCACCCTCAACACCACCTCCCTGTCCCACTCCCCCTCTGTGTGTTGTGTAGTGTGTGAGGAGTGGGGTATGTGGTGTGAGGAGGGGGGTTTGGAGGGTGAGATGTCTCTGTTTAGCAGCTGGATAGGGGTGATGATGCATTGGTTGTGGTTTCTCACTCTGAAATTAGGATGAATGAGGCGAAATAATATGTAAAATGAAAGTAAGAAACAGTTAAGGGGGCATACACCAAAACTGTCCAAAACTGCCAACCCAAATGACCTCATAGGAAGTTCAGTAACCATCTATCGCACCCTTCCCATACCATACAAATTTTGTTTGAGGATTCAAATTTTTGTAATCGAGCATTTCCTGGTCAAAGTGCAGGTAAGAAACAATTACCTTCACCTTAGGAACCATTACTCTAAAACAACATAATATTGATATTAATATTATCACGACTATTAGTTAAGTATTTTTTAGGAGAGTTAGTTGTAAGCTCCCCAAACACTTTGTGTAACTACAAGGCTGTTAGAAGCACTGCTGAAATAATTTGGGCGGAGATGCAACATTCCTTGTATGTATCTTATTTAATGATAATAAACTGAATTGCTACATTCCGGGCTTGAAAAATTGATATTTATTTTACTATTGCGTAACTATTTTAGTTTTAGTTTTAGTTAAGATATTATTATATCTTATTTAATGATAATAAACTGAATTGCTTTGTCCAATTGAAGCCATTGTTTGCAGTGCATGTTAACAGTAAGTCACTACAGTATCTGGCGAGGTGACCTCAATTTCTCCGCAACAGAGCATTTCCGGTCCCATCTTCTACTTCTACTAGTACTACTACTATATGGACACGTTCATTGAAGTTTGAGGATATTGGTAAATTTCTAAAATAGCGTTTTCGACGATAGTGGCTTAATCTTAGCATCTATTAATCTAGCGTGTTCATAAGTTCTGAACATTAGCCACGTGACCCATACTCCCATATGCACTGCTCAGAAATAAAATGTATTGCTTTTAGGCACTATAATGTAAAAAATGTCACATTTTTGTGACATTGTTTACCATAGCTGCCCAATTATCATTCCTTGGACTGAAATATAGTAGATTAGGTCAATCTAACAATTATGATACAACATTGGTTAAAGGGCACGGATCGAACAGCTTTAAGGCAATATTTCGTAAACTTTGTCACACTCAAAATACGAGACCTCTTTTCTACTGTGAGGTGTCCTCAAAACCCTTTCAACTCATTATTTGATGGTTCTTCTGCCAATCATAGCCCTAAAATATGTTGTTTTGAAAAGTTAGCTAATACATGCACTTGGTTATTGGGAAATGATGTAAATTCTGTCACATTATATGGAATTTGAAATTCTGGGTGAATTTCCGAAATCATTTATATCTGATTTTGGTTTGGAAGACGGGAAAACTCTATATAAGGACGATACACGGATACAGTTGATTCAAGTATAGGGCAGTTAATGTAAACATCGTCACAAAATGATACGACATCGTAAATAGGTTACATTTAGCGGGGAAAATCTATATAAGGACGATACACGGATACAGTTTATTCAAGTATAGGGCAGTTGTTGTAAACATCGTCACAAAATGATACGACATCGTAAATAGGTTACATTTTGCGGGAAAACTCTATATAAGGACGATACACGGATACAGTTGATTCAAGTATAGGGCAGTTGATGTAAACATCGTCACAAAATGATACGACATCGTAAATAAGTTAAATTTTGCGGGAAAACTCTATATAAGGACGATACACAGATACAGTTGATTCAAGTATAGGGCAGTTGATGTAAACATCGTCACAAAATGATAAGACATCATAAATAGGTTAAATTTGGAAACAATGATTATAGAATGAAATAGTCTGTGATTAACATATTACATACATTATAAAATGGCAGGGGTTTTTATATTTCCTGTATCTCTGTATTAATCATTTCGGACTGTAATTAGGACTGTTCACGTGAAAGAAATTGTATCTAAATTTTACAATGACGTACTCGTATGTGACGAAATTTACATTTCTTGACCCTATTTTGAAGAACCATACCTGGCCTCGGTTAGAATTCAATGTTCTTCCAGGAATTATTGGTTGGTTATTGTTTAGCAAAATAGAACTCAAGTTTAACAATGCTGAGTTTAATTTTACTAAGTTACTGAAATGTGACGAAATTTACTTTTCCTGCCCCAACAGTATAATTTCAATGTGATGAAAAATTGGCATGGGTTTCTATATTTCCTGTATAAATCCATTCCAACTATAATAAGGACTGTTGATATGAAAGAAAATCTATCTAAATTTTAAAATGACGTATGTGACAAAATTTACATTTCTTGACCCTATTTTGAAGAACCATACCTCGGTTAGAATTCAATGTTCTTCCAGGAATTATTGGTTGGTTATTGTTTAGCAAAATAGAACTCAAGTTTAACAATGCTGAGTTTAATTTTACTAAGTTACTGAAATGTAACTTAGTAAATTTTGAAGAACCATACCTCGGTTAAAATTCATTTTTCTTCCAGGAATTACTAAGTTATTGAAATGTGACGAAATTTACTTTTCCTGCCCCAACAGTATAGTTTCAATGTGATGAAAAATTGGCATGGGTTTCTACATTTCCTGTATAAATCCATTCTAACTATAATAAGGACTATTGATATGAAAGAAAATCTATCTAAATTTTAAAATGACGTATGTGACAAAATTTACATTTCTTGCCCCTATTTTGAAGAACCATACCTCGGTTAAAATTCAATTTTCTTCCAGGAATTATTGGTTGGTTATTTTTCAGCAAATCAGAACCCAAGTTTAACAATGCTGAGTTTGATATCACTAATTTACCGAAATGTGACGAAATTTACTTTTCCTGCCCGAACAGTATAATTTCAATGTGATGAAAAATGGGCATGGGTTTCTATATTTCCTGTATAAATCCATTCTAGCTATAATAAGGGCAGTTGATATGAAAGAAAATCTATCTAACAAATGCTATGGCTGATGTGACGAAATTTACATTTCTTGCCCCTATTTTGAAGAATCATACCTCAATTAGTATATAATGTTACTTTATCACCATCACTATGTCGATAAATTAGTTATTTTGCCAACACGGAGCAAATAAAGTTATAATATTTTTTTTGTGACGAAATTTACAAATTTTTACCCTGTTCAGGTGTTTAAATTTTGCCAATGTTAACATAATACTGCCATATAATAATTTATATGACCGGCGTATGGTTGAAATATTGTTAATTGATCCATAGTACGTAATATAGGGTGTTTAAGTTGGTATACTAATATTTACTCAATTTCACACATGTTGAGATATCATACAAATTTATGTGACTAAATTTACCTATTTCTGCCTTCTGTATTTGTATTTGCCTATAACAATGAAATATGTGAATAATTCCAAACACATTCAGTTCACAAAATAATTCTAGACTATTCGGCATTTTTTGTCAGGATGTCATAAACATCCCTCATATAAATTTCTTAAATGTGTGACGGAGTTTACATGGTGCTACCATTTAACGAAAAAAGTCGCTAAATATGTTGATATTAGTCATATGCAACTATCCTATAAATTTTAAATTCGAAAATTTGGTCAAACACGGCAACAAGGGGTCCATATAAACTCTGTCACGTTTTTATAGTGTGACAAAGTTTACAACTCACTGCCGGCCGCATTTAAGCGATATCTTATCGTCTGATAAAGATATCGTTATGCGACAAAGTTTATCTAGAGGATGAAACGATTATCCTAACCATTCAGGGTTTATATAGTTTTATAGTGTGACACATTTTACATCATCGTGCCATTTAGTAGGGTCACTAATATTTACCAATATCCTCAAACTTCAATGAACGTGTCCATAACTACTTGTAATACTAATAGAACTTATAATATAGGACTTGTGAACACTGAACATGCGATTCAAAATGCTGATCTTTAGGCTAGTTTTGTTTTTTTATGTTCTTTATCTACAATTAAGATCGCACTCGCCCTCAAATACCACTACACCACTACATCAGAGGCTCCGAACAATTCCTATCAAGGACAAATCAGTGAGAAGAGTGTGGTTTAACGAGAGTTTGGTTTTACAATAATGACATGTTTTGCTATTTAGGGACGCAAATGTTTGAAAAGGGTGGAGACTTGTCTCATTGTGCACAAATTGTTATAATATTTTGAGTAATATAATCTGGCCAAAGTAAAAAATTTTGCTTTTCTCAAAAATGAGGTCAGATGAGGTTTAATTCCGTCGTGCTGATCTAACCAGTGTGGGATATTTATGATTATTATTTTCAATGATGTGTTTAAAATTGTTTGTTACTTTTTTAAAAATTGGTCATTAGAACCACCCAGTGACCCAGTCCCAGCTTATAAACGAACGATAATTTGATGACAGTATTAATACAGTTGGACCAACAACAACAACAGTAGCCTAGCAACAGTAGTTATCTAGCAACTTAGCAACTTAGCAAGCCAGGAAAGCATCACCACCTGCACTGTTCTTGAGTTATTTTTGAGGGTTACAGAATTTTATTTGATTGTAATTAATTCTTTGATGACAGGCGGCAGTTAAATAAATTTTGCACTATCTGAGTTGAAATCGGTAGGATTAAGGATAGATTGAATATTATCCTGAAGGTGACTGATTGTGAAGTTGAATTCCGCTAAAGCACTATGTTTTCTTTACCACTTGTTAACTATTTTAATTTTAAGACAGTGCACATAAACTAAGAATTTCTGCTGTTACTACTTACTAGCCTAAATTGTCCTTGTCAACGGTTAAATTAACGAAATAGAAGTGTAGACAAATGCTGTTGTCATGGTAACATGTGAAGACAATTGTAACACAGGAGTCTTCTACTTTTTACATGTTTATAGTTTTGTCTGTTTACCCCTCATTTTCCCGTGATTTAAGGAGGTACCACCTTGTTATATGGTTGCTAGGTTACTGGTTGCTAGGTTACTGGTTGCTAGGTTACTGGTTGCTAGGTTACTGGTTGCTAGGTTGCTGGTTGCTAGGTTACTGGTTGCTAGGTTACTGGTTGCTAGGTTACTGGTTACTAGGTTACTGGTTGCTAGGTTACTAGTTGCTAGGTTACTGGTTGCTAGGTTACTGGTTGCTAGGTTACTGGTTGCTAGGTTACTGGTTGCTAGGTTACTAGTTGCTAAGTTACTGGTTGCTAGGTTACTGGTTGCTAGGTTACTTACCACTCCGGGGGGATGTTAAGGTCAGAATCGTACGTGACGATGGGGAATGGGGGGTGGGTCATATTTTCTTCCAAAACGCAGTTAGTACTCTTGTACTAACTACTAAGTGGTGGGTCTGCTGCTCATTTCCCAGAAAAACAGTTAGTACATGGTACCAAATGGGGTGTCCAACCCCAAAAATCTCATTTTACCTCAAATTTTAATTTGGGGAATGGGTTTTGAGGTTTTTTTGAGTTTTGTTTTGGGTATTTTTAAATTTTTTAAATTTTTTTGTAACATTTTATCTCATTCGACTACATTGAAAACAAAACCCCCACTAAATTAGTGGGTATAATTTGCCCATTTCCCAATGTTCAATGAGTTGTTTAAAACAATTTATGGGTGGGTACCTTATTTTATATACCAAGACACAGTTAGTACCGTGATTTCTCAACAGTTAGTACCGCAAAAGCCGGCAAAAGGGGTGGGTGTCTTAATTATTAGCCGAAAAAACAGTTAGTACCGCGAAGGGGGTGGGTGGGTCTTTTGAAAAATTCCAAAAATTCCAAAATTGCAAAATTGCACTTAGTTTTGTAATTTGTAAGCTTGTTTGCAAATAGAATCGATACAACGTCAGTGTTTGTAATGTCCTTAGTTGTTCATGACTCGCTTGACAATTATTATCTAGAATTGTTGATTTTGTGAGCCGGTCTAACATCAACAAATTATATCTTTAAATTCCCTTGATGGTATGGTCGGGATATAATAGTAATATTATTATTCATTTTACCCGATTAGATACTATCGTCTATTTATTGAAATATTACTCATTTATTGAGTAATTGTAACAATGTTTCCCAATGTTTAATGAGCTGTTAAAGCAATTTATCGCACCGTCTATTTATTGAAATATTACTCATTTATTGAGTAATTGTAACAAAGCTGTTATCAGATTTTATTTCAGCACCTTATATTCGTACTGTGTTGTCGCGGAGTGCAGACAGACAGTGTCTCTATTATATTAGTATAATATGTGTTGTTTAACTGCAACATGTAGCAGACTATGTGGGCTTACATTTAACTTACAATAAACTGTGGACAGTAGTCATTCAATTAATTTAATTGAAAAATAATCTGTATCGAATTAATATAATTAGTGGACATTTTAATTTTAAACACTTTAACCTCACGTACTATAATATAATATATATAACAGATAATTAAGTTTAAATGGTGAGCAGTTGGGCGATCTGAAGCCACCGGCGTTTTTATTGATACCTGTCAGGGAAATTTCAATGAACTTTTATAATTAGCTATTTTACAGCATGTCCGTCATTAAACGGTTTCGTACGTTACTCTGTTACTGGTTGCTAGATTACTTAGTATGTTGCTGTGTCAAGTAGTGTGTTTACACCAAGTTAAGTCTACTTAGCGTTAGTTTTTTGTTAACAACGCTATTTTACATATTCACTATTCATATATTGTGCAACTTATCTGTTCTTTGTTATCTATTTATTATTGTTGTTGTTGTTGATATATATTTTCGTCTATCGCAGGTAAGGGCGGGAGATAAGTACTCTCTTATTCAATTTCGTTGAATTGTAAGAGGATTCCCATTAAAAGACTAATGACCGTTGGTACTGTAATTTGATTACCAGTATAATTATTAGTCGACATGTAATTAACCAATAACCAGTAAGTATTAAAGACAATATTATGTAACTGAAAGTAAACTAACGATGGTAAAATGAAGGTATAATAAACTAACGATGGTAAAATGAAGGTGTATTCCTTGAAGCCGGTCTTCTTGTTGTGGTCCTCACTGTTAGTGTTGTTGTTGTTCTTTGCTTGCCTCTTAGAACGGGGCTGTACTCTTCTTAACACCACACTGAAACCTTTTATATTAGTTTTATGTTACGAAAAACCGAACAAATATTTTTGGGTCATAACGATCAGGGTAGTATGAAACGTCAGAGTCATTTTTGATACGTTCCTTAATTAGGCCAAAATTCGAGTATAAGGCCCAGTCCCCAATCCTCCTCCCCCCCCCCCCCCCCATCAGCATTTCCAAACCCGCTTCCACCTCGCCCCTCGGCTGCTGACGTAATATTATGTGAACCCTGGCCTGCCTTACAGTAAGATCCTGGAAACACTGTCCATGCTGTTTTATTTTACACTATCAGTATCAGTATCAGATGTTTAGAGTCTGTAAATACTGTCCCCAATAGAGATTTGTGCACGTGTTTCTACAACAGGTGTTTTATAATATCTGACATTAGTTTTACAGTTAAACACACAGTTGCAGTTCTTTAGTTGGATAACAACCTTAGTGACATAACGTTCACTAATCAGAGCCTCTGGAAACACGTGTCTCCAGAAGGATACCAAGATACCACCCCGGATCCCGGTAACATTCCGCTCCAGTATTCACGGCACGTTCCTATACTAAAAGTGTGCTGAATAATGGCCGTTAACATATCATCTGATCTGAACGGTTAAGGTTGGACCCCCTCCTACCCCTTCTTAACAGTTATGATTCTATGCGGTAGGTTCATGATCTGTTTCAATAATTTTTGTACGTCCTCAAAGCTCTCACAACACCATCCTTTATCTGTTTAACAACAGGCGTTTGTATTAACTAAGTAGATGTAGGTATCCGAATGTTGTTTTTACACAGTACTCGGTTCACTAAGCTATGCTACTTCAGTACTTTTAGTACTGATACTTCTTCTCAATTATTATGTGAATTCTTAATTCTCTTATTATCATATCACCAACTTAATCTTATGAATATTCTTTTCTTTTGCTTAAATTATTTTTTTTATAAATTTTTTGCAGTAAAAATAGTTTTTTTCATCTGTAACATTTTATTGTGTTGCTATCAATTATCATGTCAGATGATATTAGCTTCTCGAGAAGGTCTTTATGCAATTGAACCAATGTTGCACTGTAATAACATTAGTTGGTTCTTTTGCGATAGTCAAAACGCGACAACTAGCGCTGGATAACGCTGGCCAGCGCAAAATATATATGTTCGATAATTGTCGCTATCCAGCGCTAGTTGTCGCCATCCAGCGCTAGTTGTCGCCATCCAGCGCTAGTTGTCGCTATCCAGCGCTAGTTGTCGCTGGCTATGCGACACTGTCGCACGCGATAGTTTGCGATGGCCAGCGCAACTGGCTATCGCAGAAAACAGTTCGATAACTAGCGCTGGATAGCGACAACTAGCGCTGGATAGCGACAACTAGCGCTGGCCAGCGCTAAGCGATAGCCATCGATATCCAGTCCAGCGCAAAATTTTTTCGCTATTACTCGTCAGCTAGCGCTAACCAGCGCTGGCCAGCGCTAGCCAGCGCTTATCGCAGAAAACAGTTCGATAACTAGCGCTGGATAGCGACAACTAGCGCTGGATGGCGACAACTAGCGCTGGATGGCGACAACTAGCGCTGGATAGCGACAATTATCGAACATATATATTTTGCGCTGGCCAGCGTTATCCAGCGCTGGATAGCGACAACTAGCGCTGGATGGCGACAACTAGCGCTGGATAGCGCTAGTTGTCGCCATCCAGCGCTAGTTGTCGCGTTTTGACTATCGCAAAAGAACCCATTAGTTATTGTTTATACTTATAAATCAAGAGGCTTGCATATAATGAACATATTGACACGGGTGCAGAGTTATAGCTGTTATTGGCACCATTTCATTGGACGAGAGGTAGCCCCTTGTACCTTCATGTCATCAACAGACAACAATATGACAAACCAACAAGCTGAGTCGTGCGACTTTTCCATTTATATATTTTATTATTAATATTATAATGCTTGACGTATTTGTATTAAAAAAATTTAATTGTGACATGGATTTTTAATAGCCATGATAATATAATTATGTAATATATTTTTTTCACAGCAGACAAGAGAACCACAACTAACACCAGGATTACACAGGATAACACAGGATAACACAGGATAACACAGGATAACACAGGATTAAATAGGATTACACAGGATTACACAACATTACACGGCATTACACAGCATTACACAGCATTACACAGGATTACACAGGATCACACAGTATTACACAGGATTACGCACTATGATGCTGTCATGTTGTTACCCTCTAACTCTCTAATAGACCATCTTTCTCTCACAGCACTTCTAAATTAAGTTTCACATCTACCTACCTCTTCAAGAGACAAGTTCAAAACTACCTACAATTAAATAGAAGGGCATCAGACCGGATCAAATTTGTTTCTAACACATTATATCATCACCTACCAGACTCACAGGAGTATTCTAACCGCTTCCGTTTTAAACCAGCCTCTCTTCAATTTGTGACCTTTTTGTTAAGCTTAGGAGGTTCTTGCTGAGACTGCAGTAGTCCACTTGCACGATACGTTTTTTGTATCTTGTATGTGACCAGTCAGTTATATTCGATGAGTGTAGTTTATTTCGACTGCTTTGTTTTTTCCCCAATAAAATGAAACACAATTATATCTTGTTAAACGTCAGTAAAATAACTCAATCGTATTATCTTGAGGAGACTTTAAACTTGCAGTATATATAATAATAATAATAATAAGTAGGAATTTATACATCGCTTTATAGCCATAAAGAACTCAAAACCCAAAGATTCAGTTCAAACCATCTAAAGCGACTCATGAGTAACATGTACATAAGAACTTATTTTTATGAAGTATGGATTTTATGAGAAAGGTAATACATGATACTTATACAAATACGTTTTCAAAGAGATGAGTTTATATATATATATTTAAACAGTATTACTGCAAGTTTTTTCAGTTAGAGAACTATTTATTGGTACTAGTGTTTGGTACTCGTTATTCTCCCGTACGCTTATAAAAATATTTAAACACTACTTTTCTTTCACAACGGTTGCATAGCAGGTTCCACACTGTTCTTTAATAGTGTAGTAAATTAAACGCTTACCTAAAATAAAATACCGGAGCACCAGCCCGGATATTATGTTATAATAATACCTTGTCGTTTCAACTATAATATGAACCATTTCATCACCTGCCGGATTCTGAAGATACTCCAGACTTTTTAGGAGCTTTCTAAACGCATCCATTTCAAACCAGCCTCTTTCAGTTTCCAAGTTGCTACTTGCTAGGGGTTACTCTCAATGTTGTCTTTAGAGAGCTTGGGAGGTTTATTTCACTACTTTTTATATGCTAACTGAGCAGTATTTGCTTTCATGACCAAACCTTCATCAATCACTAAATGGGTCAGGTGTTTTGAGATGAACAATTAATCATGGTTCCGATATGATTACATTAGTTTCACGTCACCTCGAGGCGACTACATCGTGACAATCATTTGCTGGACTTCTTGTCTAAGATTTGGACTAATCTTATCTCCATCTTTCAAATTTCACACAATAATATTTATAAAGGTGCGACTTCTGAAGACTAAAGTTAAGGTCTTTTACTTTAGATCAAGAGCATTATATCAAGATACTAAGGTTTTCTGATTAGTATTAAAGTAAAGTATACTAAGGATACTTTCTGTTTCCGATCAGACTAAGTAAGGAAAAATACGCTAATTAATGGAAATAGTCGTCACGTTAGTACAATCAAGGTCATTATCTTTCTCCCAGTTAACGCTTATAATTTTAATTGATTAGAATATTATTAGAACTACAGCAGATCGTGAGAACTAAACGAACCATCGTTACCATGGTTACGTCATACGAATGAACAGTGACAACTACACTACAGTTCCCTACCAAATCCTTCTCTCTTCGGCAGCTTTTGGCGATTTTTGTTAGGGGCTTCAGGAAATAATAATAAGCAGATTCTGCTTCAGTTTAAGCAAAACCCGACGTCTATAATAGCTTCAAAAGCGGATAAGGTAAGATATTATCAAATGCGCTAAAAAGGGCGTGACTCTAGCATAGTTAATTTTTGGATTGATGGATTGTTGGAGCTGGAGGTTTAGCATGGGTACCGTCAAGACTACTAGCACAACTCCGCAAGCAATCTAGTACAACTACTGCTTCGACCGTAATGAATGGTTTTAATACCTGAACCTTTGCCACTCAGTAGTTATCTTATCCCAGATCTTATCCCAGACCGGGATTAACACTGACACCACAGAATTAAACCACAGTTTGTTGTTGTTTTATACCCACTCCTCTCTACTATCTACTATGTACCTATCAGCTATCTACTGTCTACTGTCTACTGTCTACTGTCTACTGTCTACTGTCTACTGTCTACTGTCTACTGTCTACTGTCTACTGTCTACTGTCTACTGTCTACTGTCTACTGTCTACTGTCTACTGTCTACTGTCTACTGTCTACTGTCTACTGTCTACTGTCTACTGTCTACTGTCTACTGTCTACTGTCTACTGTCTACTGTCTACTGACGAGCAGATGAGTCATTACAATTCTGTAGATTGCATCCGATGTGGTTATGTAATTTTAGATTGGAGTGTAAATGTTTGAATTAAACCTCTTGAAGCCTCTGAGCACATTCCCTCACTGCATCTCCACCTTGTGTATGACTTGAAGTTTTACAGGTGGGTATTATTGTGTTAATTGTGTTTTTTAGGCTATATAGTTGTGTTTATTGTGTTATATAGTTGTGTTTATTGTGTTAAATAATGTAGTTGTGCTTATTGTGCTTATTGTGTTATACAACTTACTGTGGATAATAGGAAGATACTGTGCTTATAATTTGTATTGTGTTTACTAGGTGGATACTGGATACTTATTGTGTTTTAAAGATTAAACAGGTTATATAATATATTGTGTTTAATCTCGCTATTGTTCTCTGTAGTGTCCATGTTTGTATCTAATTGTATTGTCTGCAGTATAGTTAAGAGATATCACGTGACTTTCGTGCTGTTTAAATTTCCAG